TCAGAAGTCTCCCTGGTGAGGGATGGGCCTGGGTCCAAAAGGGAAGCACATCTGGAGCCCCAGGTGCCTTGCAGAAAAATAGAACAAAGAACTGACTCTTCCTCAAACCACTTAAGTTAGCAGGAAGTAGGACATTTCTTTCCTGAACACTGCATTGCCTTAAAATACCTTGTATGAGAAAACTACTTTATACCTATAGTTTAGACATATATGTTATGTTTTAAATTTTAGCTTGGAATAGTTTAAATTAGAAAAGATACTTGCAGAAAACCACAAATGCTACAAATTGAGATGTATATAAATCCAAGCCTTTTTTCTTTCTTCCTTCCTTTTTTTAACAACAACAAAAAAGAGAATCATAGAAAGTCTGTTCATATCATAAACTTGGCTTTAACAGAAAGGTTGATAAGGGAACCGTTTTGTTTAAATGAACAAGAAGCTTCAAGCAATAGTTAGAAGCTGGTAATCCCTAATTTGTGGGCTAATGTTGAAGCAAGTTAATAAAATGACCTTAGGGAAAGATCAAAGTAATGTTTTACAGAATTCTGGAGCTAGAGGCACCTTGGAGAGCATCTAGTCCAATGATCTCATTAAGAAAATGCAGAAACTAAGACTGGCAGAGGAGGGATGACTTCCCCAACAGTTGCAGAGATTCAGTTGTTAGCCACAAAATCCACTGAAATACTATTTTTTTTTGTATAGTTGTGTGGATGAGAAGCAGAAAAGTTGAGAAAGATTGTTTTTCTAGTCTTGGCTATTTCTCCCTAATACTGTTTTGCATTCTAAATCTTGTTTTCTCCCTCTATTGAGCTTTTATAAACAATGAGTTCTCATTAAGAAATGAATACAGTCCAGAACTTTAAGCAATATTTTGTTTAATTTTAAACAATACATGCACCTAAAACAAAATCAAAAATTTGTAACAGGTATATTTAGAAAACCATCTAGCTCCCACTGCTGCCTCCTAGAGGGGCCACTCACTGGTAACAGATTGGGAGTGTTCTTCCAGAACATCTCATGCATGCAAAGCACCTAGACAGATATGTACTCCTCTTTTCCTTTCCATTTCTACACAGCTGTTAGTACAATCTTCACACTGTTCTTCATCTTGCTTTTATTATGTGGTAATGTACCTTGCGGACTGCTGACATAACAGGTCCTATCTAGTGACCTCTTTCCTTTTAAATGGCTATGTACTATTGCATTGTCTGGAAGTTCTGTAATTTATTTAACACATTTGGGTCATGTCCTCTTTTTTGCCATTTCAAACAATGTTGTGATGAATATCTTTGTACATACATCATTTCACACGCGTGGGAATATAACTGTAGTGTAAATTCCTGGAAACAAAATTACAGGGAATGCATCTTACATTGTGGTTGATATTGCCAACTTTCTATAACACAAGCCAGGAATTAATGCCTATTTCCCCACACTATGGCTGACACATAGTGTCTCAATAAGTTGCTTAGGGCCTTGCTTGTTGATGAGGCTGAACTTGGGATCCTCCTGCCTCAGCCTTTTAAGCTGCTGGGATTACAGGAGTGCATCCATATTCTACATTTTTCTTTCTTTTGCTCATTTTCCCACTAGTTACTGGTTTTTATATTATTGACTTATAAGAAAACTTTATATGGCAGAAAATTAGTTAGACAACCATCAAATATTAGCAGATGTATAGATTATTGCAAATATTGTCTCCATTTTGTTACTTGTCCTTGTTTTTTTAAAAATATTTATTTATTTATTGTAGTTTTAGGTGGACACAATATCTTCATTTTATTTTTATGTGGTGCTGAGGATCGAACCCAGTGCTTCACGCATGCTGGGCGAGCACTCTACCACTGAGCCACAACCACAGCCCCTTGTTTTTGTTTTTTAATCCTACTGACTATGCAGAATTTATTTATTTATTTTTTTAGAGTGCAATCAGATATTTGGATATTTCTCTTTATTTGCATTTGGGTTGTTCTAGCATTTCTCTATTAAAGACTATAGTACAAAATATCCTTATGATATACTCCATGTACTTTTAATATTCCCTTTATTGGACTTAAATTTTTGATGCATCTAAAATTTATTTTATGTAAAATATGAACTAAAAAATATAGCTTTATTTTTTCAGACCGTTATTCAGCTCTTCCAAAACCATGTATGAAATAATCAAAGTTTTCCTCACTTATTTGAAAAACTACCTTTATTACATGAATTTGAATGTACTTCTGTCCTGTTCTTTGGAAGCCTTCATTATGTCTGTGAATTCAAAAAAACAGCACAGCATAATTTGAATTCTCTTACTTTGCAATGTATTTTAATAGCTGTTGAGACTCTACTTAAAAAAAAAATTCCTGGCCACTCTTGACTTGTTTGTTTTTTATTTTGAATCAAGGAATCAGTGTGTTTTTTTCCTCTCCCTCTAAAAATATTGTAGGTTGTATTATTTTATAGATTGCCTTAGGGAAAATTGATGTCTTTATGATGTTGCATATTTTTGTTCAAGAACATGGTATTTTATTCATTAATATTGTTTTTTAATCTTCCTCAATTGCATTTTATACTTTTCATCACATAATTTCATGTGTTTCTTTAATGTCTCTTCCTAAGTATATTAGTTTATTGTTACTATTATTTTATTATATAGTCCAACAACTTTTTATTTGTGTAAAATTATGTAGCTTGGTATGTTGATTATATGACAAACTGTCTTTATCAATTCTTATTTGTACTCCTTAAACTTTGTTATTTTACATTTTCAAATATATAGTAAAATCAAATGAAGATAATAACAATTGTACTTCTTTTCACTGAAAACACATACTTCTTTTTTCTTTCATTGAATTGTATAGCCAGCATCCCCAAAACAACATTAAATAAGAATGGTTATAGTAGACACAGTAGCTTTTTTCTGACTTTGTCAGGATTTCTTGTTGTATTTCTATATTACACTCAACACTAGTTTCTTTGGTGTTCACTATATGTGAATATACATAAATATAAACATACAAATTTTATTGATTATTAAGTTTATGTTATTTCTAGTTCTTTTAATTTTTTTTAAAAAAAATCAAGAATCAATGTTTGAAGGTTGTGAAGCAGAGGATACCAAAGTTTGGTTAGACAGGGAATAAGTTTCAGAGGTCTGTTGCACAATCTGGTGATTATGATTAATAACAATACACAACGTATTTGAAAAACCACTGAGAGAAGATGGTGTATGTTCTTACCACAAAGAGATAGATACGTATGTGAGGTAATGCATGTATTAATTAGCTGAAATTTAGAAATCCCACAATGCAGATATATTTCAAAATATCATGTATTTGCGGTTATTTTCTCTTTTAGTTTCTTAATTTAAATAATCCTGCTTCTCTTTTTTACTTCATTGAGTTAGCTATTTATTAATTTCAGTCTTTGCATTTGACAAAGAACCATTTAACTCATGTTAATCCTTCCATTTGTAGTTTTCTAGTTTATTAATTTTTGATTTTATTTTAATTACAGATTGTTTTGGGTTACTTCAGGTACATATTGGTTATATCTAATATATTTGCATAAATGTTATTTAATTTTTTTTCCTTTTGTTATGGGGATTGAACCCAGGGGTGCTTAACCACTAAGCTGTATCTCCATCTCTTTATTTCCTCTTTAATTTTTAATTTTTTATTTTGAGACAGAGTCTCATTAAGTTACTTACAGCATCGCTAAATTGCTGAGGCTGGCTTTGAACTTGTGATTCTCCTGCCTTAGCCTCCTAAACTGCTGGAATTACAGGCCTATGCCTCTGAACTGTTTTCATTCTTTTTAATTGTTAATCAAAGTACTTGGGTGAGCATAGAGGTGCAGGCCTGTAATCCCAGTGACTTGGAAAGCTGAGATGGGATGATTACAAGTTCACGTCCAGCCTCAGCAATTTAGCAAGGCCCTAAGCAGCTTAGTAAGACTCTGTCTCAAAAAAAGTAACAAATGAAAAGGGCTGCAGATGTAGCTCAGTAGTAAATCATCCCTGTGTTAAGTCCCTGGTACTGGACAAACAATTAAGTGATTCTTTTTATTAATTCATTCTTAGGGAATTTTCTTTGAAGCACTGCTTGAGTTGTCTGATGCCTCCATCTGTTGTACTGCTCACTTTTGCAGCAGCAGAGGCCCCAATAAAATCTCTAACAAATGCTTTCATTATCTACTCATTTATGTCTGTCTTGGATAGAGAGGGCTGAGCTACTTGCAAAATGAACTGGTAACAACAAGGGATGGTGGCCCACAGAACATCTCATTGTCAACCCCAGGCCCTCTATCGGAGATCCTGCCCCCAGCAGAATGCCCTTGAAGGCTCACATAACTCCAGTGGATGTTTCCAGTTGGTGCAGAAGAAGAAAACAGACACTTACCACTGTAGCTGATCCTCATATCCTCAAAGAGAGTGGGCAAGTAGGGACAATAGATATCCATTCCCATTTCAGATCTTTCCCATTGGAAGACACCATATGACAAATTGGCAGACACCCTTCACCCCATAGCAGACAGGGACCTCTAGGAATGGAGCACCTAAACCTAACAGTCTAGCTCCTGAAATCACAAGATTCCTCTACTGTCACATAGGAGATGGAACATTCTAATGCTGCCACCATATCCAAACTGGGATTTCAAGTCACTGATCAAGACTTAGACATGCAAAGGGAAGCAAGCAGTCCTCTAGCACACCAAGGGTACATTGAGTGATACTCAGGTCTCCTTTCTCTTTCTCTCAGAGGATCTCACCATGGATCCTGCATCCCCTGCTTTTCCACAGCTGTTCAGCAATGAGTCTGCCATCTGTTCCAGCCCCTCACCCAACGCATCTGCAGGATTTATTTCTCTGAGAGTTACCCCTATGGACACTACACCCCCTTCACTGCCTCTCCTTTGGGGTCTTTCCCTGGCTCCATTGGAAGCATTCTCCCACCCTTGGCCCAGGATGTCAAGTCCCCACTGGATTCAGCATAGGGTTAGCAATGATATCTCACCGGGTCTGTAACATCTTGTGTGCCCTGGAGACACTGCTCAGTCCATATTTGAAGCTCTTGGCAGGAAGCAGCACAAAGATCCCCCATTTTACAACATTTTCCTCCTTTTGGACCCGGCAGCTCTGGCTCTATCCATGATCTCAAATTCTGCTCCAGGCCAGCCAGCCAGGCACAGGAAGTCACACTCAGCCTGGGGACTAATTACACACAAATTACACCTTGGGTACCCATGGCAATACCCAGCTTCCCTCTGCTGCCACGCCACCTGTATTCCCTCTGTTACCCCTACCACCTCTGGTGTTTCAGCCCACATACTTTACAGCCCAAGTTCTATTGTGTTCCAATGTTGTTTTTACCAGGAAAACACCATCAGAGCATCTTCCTGTTTTCTGAGATTTAATGTTGTATTTGGGAAAAAGTCATAGATGGTCACTGTGCTTTGAGCTGAAGTGAAGGAAGTCTCCAGTCTGCTCCTGGAGACTCTCAATCTGTGCTAATACATGTGCACAGATATGACCTTGTGACATCCACGTCAGAAGCAATGAAGGTATTGAAATTTCACCGTGCACATGGGACCCCTAGCAACAATCATGGATGCAAATAGGAGATCAGGATCTCTGTAGCTCCTGAAATGCATGCCACACTCTCTGTGTGTGATTCAGGATGACATTAGTGACCATCCTGACAGTATTTGTTATATTAGAAACTTACCAACTTCCTATGAAGTACATACACAGCCTTTTTCTTATTTGAGACAATATCTTGCTGATTACTAAATTCCCAAGCCTGACTTCAAACTCGCAAAATCCTCCTCCTTGTTTCCCCAGTAGCTGGGATTAAATGCATGTAACAACATGCCCAAAATTATTTTTTATTTTTTCAAAACTGAGGATTGAACATAGGGACATTTACCACGATTCTTTGTGCCTGGCCCTTTTTATTATTTATTTTGAGACACATTCTTGCTAAATTGCCTTCAGTTGGCCTCAGACTTATTCCCCTCCTCCCTCAGCCTCACAAATAGCTTGATAATAGCTATGCACCCCACCCTGCCTGGCTCATGTAACTTATAACTAACAAAACTTCTAAAGGCACAATTTTGGACTTGGCATGTATATTGGATCCTTGGCTGAGGGCCTTCTCTGGGAGGCATTTTCCAGGGTCTGCTTACTGCATGGCAATCTAGTCCCCACTGTGACCTGCATCACTGCTGCCACTGCTCAGTAACAATGCAGCAACCCCTGCCTTGCAGCCACCAACACCAACACCACCTGTGTGGTCTCCCCTAAGAAACCACTGCATGAGGATGTCACAGTCTTCAAGGGGAAAACCTATTCCTCAGTTCCTCACAGGTTTATGGGTGCCTCAAAGTCAGTGGACATTATTGCCAGGCAAATAATGACATCGATGCAGATAAATGAACTGCAGAAATTCATCTCTACTCTAACAGGATGACCCATAAAAGTATTTCACCTCGATGTGGAAGGGTCAAACTGAACCCACAGAGCATGTCACAGGAGTTCTAGCCTGGACAGGGTGAACCTCAGTGCCTGTTCCTCCTTACTATTGCCTCAGTGTCCCTGGACTGCAGAATTGCTGCCTCTTGAGAGGAACTGCATTTCACGTCCCTTCATGCCCACCTTCATAAGTAATCACTGAGGATCTCCAGTGGATATCATTTCTTCATTCAGTTATTACAATTTCATTCTTAGCCCCTTTGAGTGCTTTTTACCTTATTTATAATGGATCTAAAAAAATTGACTTGTTCCTCTGAGTGTCATATGAAAGAAGGAAAATGCCTTACTACACACAATCCAGCCAATGTGAGCTTGAACCAATTTCCAGAGGAAGTTAAGAAGTGTGGAGTTACCCTAAGAGTAAGCACTGAGGACACTCTTCTTGTGGAGAAAGGAGGCACCAATATGCTTGATTGCACTGTTGAGGATGTTGTACCATCCTCCAGCCAGATCATTGTTGACCCATTAAGTTTGAACAATTAACTTCCCTGAACCACATGGCTATTTCATTACTGCTTGTTGCATTTGAACCTTGGGAGAGCTCCAGTGCTGGGTGCTTTAGCATTAATTGATGGTGGAGTGAAGTATGAAGATGCAGCACCATCCCTAAGACAAAGGCAGTGTGGGACTCTGAATAGCAAGCAACTCTCATATTTGGAGAAGCATGAACTAAAAATGCAGCCATGCTTCAAGGGCTCCAGTGAGCATAGGAATGACTGCTGCATTCAGTAAGTCATGGTGCTTTGGGAGTGTAACTTGGGATGGGACCTAACTGTTTTTAAATATTATCCAAAGTGTTGCTGTCCTGGATGTATCTGACGGAGTTTGCAAAGGAGTATTGAAAGCAGTTTCACCAGGCTAAAGATGGACAGAATTTCTCCCTGTATGTTTTGGTGATGATCAACCTACTTAGATATGGGGCAAATAATTCTTACTGTTTGGCAATTAAAAGTGTTATGCTTTGGGTATAAGTTTTCCCAAAGCTCATGGGAGACAATGCAGTAATGCTCACAGTGAAGTAATTAGATTATGAGAGCTGTGTCCTAACAGGGCACTAATCCGGATGGCTTAATTATTTGAGATGACTAAGGTACTATGTGGTAACTGCTAGCAGGTGATGTGACTCAGGAAGACAGAGGTCACTGGGGGCATGTCCTT